ACTCTTTCCTTCTGGGGCTACCCCCAACATCATTGTCATGGGCCTCCTCTCCTTTACCACCCCCCTTATACTTGTTTTCTCCTTTTAGATGTCATCCTTGTACAGCGTGAATACGTGGTCACTAGCAGGGAGCCAAGTTTTGTTTAACTTCGGCCTAGGCTTTGGCCCCATTGCAGCCTTAGCCTCACACACGGCCCAGTCCAACAACTGTCTTGGTGATGCCCTTATTGTGGCTCTGTTCAGCCTGGTCGCCTTGTTGGTTATCTTACCTTTCATCTTCTCTATCCTGGGCTTCTGGGCTACAATCATCACGCATCGCTGCTGTGAGAAGTAAGGGCAGCCTCTTGGTTGAGTGTCCCAGTCCCGGGGATGTGAAATGCAGAGACCTTAGCTTTAAACATTCTACAGAGACTCCACATTCATGTAGCTCAACCTCAGGCACACTTAGAAGCTTCTGCTTTCCCTGACGGCTAAAAACAGAGCCCATAGGGTCCCCTGTCAAGTATTATTTTTGTCAGAGCCTTTAAAATTTTTTTTTTAATTTAACTTTATTCATCAATTTGTTTTAATTTGACCCGAGGACAGAGAGAGAAAGTGAGAAAGCAAGCCACCAGGTTCGGGACTCAAACCACAGTCAGCCATGTGGGAGTCCAGCACCCTTAACTACCAAGCCACCTGCCAGGCCCTCTCAGAGCCCTTTTCTATGAATAACTTTGAAATCTTCAAATGGAGAGACAATCAACTGTCCACTTCAGAGCACATGTGCTAACAGAAATAATTGAAAATGGCAAATATTCAAGGTTACTCTAAACCTAGGTACCCAACAAAATAACATCTAAGACCACAGTCATACGGTGAACTGCCCACACCAACCCTCCCCTTCCTAATGCCCCCATTCTCAGCTGTCATTTCGTGCATTTAGGGACTTCTGCTCATCTAGCATATTTAAACTCCAATAGGATTCTCAGGGCTACTAGAGCCTTTATTACCTGATTGGTCTTTTTTTTTTTTTTCAGTTTTGCTATAGGACGTGTGCACCTTTTACACCCATTCCCATCCCAAACCCCGGGACTTGGCTTCCACACCACCTCCTGGCCCTGATCACCCTCTTTTATATTCTTTAGGTTTTAAAATTTTGGGGGGGATCCAGCATGTGGTATGATGATTAAGGCGCTGGACTCCCACTTGGCCAACCATGATTAGAGTCCTGGATCCTGCAACTTGAAAGTCAAGGCAGGCATGCGTGCCCAAAATCCCAAAAGGAGGATGGAGGAGAAGGGATTGTGGTGTGGCCATCCTCCTGGGGGGTCATTTCTCACTTTCCCTCTTTGTCTCTTTCCAGCAAGTACATGTACCCTATGGCCAAACCCTGAAATTTTTTGTTTTTGTTTTTGGATAGAGGGTGCATGTTCTCGCTGGAAAGAGACATAGAAAAAGTGGGAAGTCACCTCCCATGGGGGATGGTCACACACAGTCTCTTCCCCATTCCCCTTTTGGAATTTTGGGCATACATGCACATGCCTAGCATGTTTTTTAAGTCGCTGGACTCAAACTGTGCCGTTAGTCATGAAGGATCCAGCTATCTTAACCACCATGCTACCACTGACCCAAGGCATTAATTTCTAATAGATCCATCAGACTTTATAAAGTACTCTGTGTTCCACAGAATTGAATAGGGGAATCGCACGTTGCTTTCATTAGGTTATCGGTTTTGGGAGAAGAAGGTAGGGGAACTATCCACTAAATCAGCTTTAAGCCTGTGATAACTGGGCAGGGGTGATGGGAGAAGATGGAGAACAAAGCCATTCATTCTGCCTGGGTCGTTCAGATAAGGCCTTCTAGAAGAAGCTTGGACATGCACATGTGCACATATGGAGAGTTCACTAGGGCATATACCTAGGAAGGGAATTGCAGGGCAGGGTATGCCCACCTTCAGTTTTACCATATATTGTCTGATTTTCACATGGTTTAAGGAATTACCCTCTGCCCAAGGATGTGTAAGAATTCCATTTGTTCAACTTTATGTGCAATTTTTTTTGAGAATTATTTATTTACTTATTTATTTCTATTTGTTATTATTATTATTATTTTAAATTTGATCAGAGACGGAGAGAGAAGAGGAAAGTGAGAAAGCAAGTCTCCAGGTCCAGGACTCGAACCGTGGTCAGCTATGAGGGAATCCAGTACGTTTAACCACTGCACCACCTGCTGGCCCTATATGCAATATTTGATTAAATTTTGTCAGACTTACAGTTTTGACAGTCTGGTGGGAGTTTAATGTTTCTTTTTGTTTTTAATAAGTCTGTAAGGGCCATCAGGTGGTGTGGTGGTGAAAGCAGCTGCACCCACCTGGCCGACTTGGTTCCGTTTCCAGACCCAGCAGCTTGAAAAACATGCTGGGGGTGGGGGTGGGGACCCGCAGTTGGCATAAAGGCTATGTTGCTGGACTCCCATGTAGCCGACTGCAGTTTGAGTCCAGGACCTGGTGGGTAAAACTTACATCAGGCATGTGTGCGTGTGTGCCCAAGATCCTGAGAGGATAAAGGAAGAGAAGGGATTGCAGCATGGCCATCTCCCCTGAGGAGTGATTTCTCGCTTTCTGTCTCTCTGTCTCTTTCTGTCTTTCTGGCAAGTGTATGCGCCCTATAGCAAAACCCTCTCCAAAAAAAAAAAAAAATTAAATAAATAAAAGGAAAGGAAAGAGAAGAAAAACATGCCAGGGAGACAGGTGGTGGTTAAGGCAGGCACTGGACACTCCCACATGGCCGACCACAATTTGAGTCCTGGACCTGGTGGCTTGCTTTCTCACCTTCTGTCTCTCTCTGTGTCTCTCTTTGGTCAAATTACAAACAAATTAATTAATAAATAAAGTTAAATAAATAATTCTTTTTTTTTTTTTTCAGCTGTCTTTTTGCTATAGGGCGCGTGTGCTCGCCAGACAGACAGAGAGAGACATAGAGACAGAAAGCGAGAAATCACCCCCCCAGGGGGGATGGCCACGCCGCAATCCCTTCTCCTCCATTCTCCTCTCAGAATCTTGGGCACGCATGCACACATGCCCGGTGTGAGTTTTAAGCCACTGGGTCAGGGACATGAACCGCGGTCGACTACGTGGGAGTCCAACGACATAGCCATTACGCTAACTGCTGGTTCCCCAATAATTCCTTAAAAAAAAAGAAAAAGAAAGGGTGTGTATGCTTGCATGCTCAAAATCCCAAGAGTAGAATAGAGGAGAAGGGATTACAGTATGGCCATCCCACCTGGGGAGTGCTTTCTTACTTTCCTTCACTCTTTCTCTCTGGTGAGTGCACATGACCTATAGGAAAAAAAGGAAACAAATATTTGATTTAGAGCTATTACAAACATACAGAGGAATGCATAAAGCAAAATATGCAGTGTAAAGAACTCTGATGTTAAGAGCTAGGATAGTAAGGCAAAAACCTTTATAAAATTTAAAAATAAAAAAGCTAAGATGGCCCAAGAAGCTCTCCATACTTCTTTTTTTTTTTGGGGGGGGGGAAGAGGATTTTGCTATAGGGCGTGTGCGCTTGCCAGACAGACAGAGAGAGACAGAGAGATAGAAAGCGAGAAATCACCCCCCCAGGGGGGATGGCCACGCCGCAATCCCTTCTCCTCCATTCTCCTCTCGGGATCTTGGGCACGCACGCACACGTGCCCGGCGTGAGTTTAAGCCACCGGGTCCGGGACTCGAACCGCGGTTGACTAAGTGGGAGTCCAGTGACATAGGCATTACGCTAACTGCTGGTCCCCCTAGCTCTCCATACTTCTAAAAATAGCTTTTTTTCCTCCATGGTAGAAGCAGGCTCTACTTTGACTTCTACAATCATTGTTTGGTTTTATTTATATTCTGTCATCTACATCTGTATATCTAAGCAATATAGTTTACTTTGTCCACTTAGATAAAGCAATATATTGGGTTGTTGGAAAAGTCATGAGGTATTTGCTCTGCAAGAATTTATCATGACTTTTCCAACAACCAGTAGTTGAGTATGCCACTTACATATTGTAGTTCAATCTGTTCATTTATAAATATGTTCTCTTTGTATTCTTTCTTTTTAAAAAAATTACTTTACTCAACTTAATTTTTTTTAGAATTATTCTATTTAATTTTATTATTATTATTATTATTTTACAATGTGATCGGAGAGAGAGACAGAGAGGGAAAGTGAGAGAGCAAGCCACCAGTTCTAGGACTTGAACCCCAGTCAGCCATGTGGGAGTCCAGCGTCTTTAACCACCACGCCACCTGCCAGCCCCAACTTTATTTATTTTAGTTTGACCAGAAAGGGACAGAGAGAGAGAGAGAGAGAGAGAGAGAAAGCAAGAAAGAGAGAGAGAGAGAGAAAGCAAGCTGCCAGGTCTGGGACTCAAACTGTGGTCGGCCATGTGGGAGTCCAGCGCCCTTAACCACCATGTCACCTGCCAACCCCTCTTTGTATTCTTTTATGCTTTACTTCTCTCATTTAATACATTTGTAATATTCAGCTATAATGTGTTTAACTTCAGTCTGCTATTTAAGTACTGTGGAATGTTCCAGTACATGAATATACTATTTTTTTTAAAAAAGAAGCATTTATTATTTATTCATTCATTTTTTTAATTTGACCAGAGAGAGACACAGAGAGAGAGGGAAAGTGAGAAAGCAAGCCACCAGGTCCGGGACCCGAACCATGGTCGACCATGTGGGAGTGTCCAGCGCCTTAACCACCCTGACACCTGCTGGTCCCCATGAATATACTATTTTTTAAATCTATTCTGTTAATGTACATCTGGAATATTTCCAGTTTGTTTTTGTTTTTGTTTTGTTTTTTTTGCTATAGGGCATATGGGCTCGCCAGAGAGAAAGAGAGAGACAGTAAGGAGAGTGAGAAATCATTCCCCAGGGTAATGGCCAAGCCACAATCTGTTCTGCTCTATTTTCTTCTTGGGATTTTGGCCACACGTGCACATGTACCCTGCATGATTTTTCTTTTTTTAAAAATTTTTTTGGAGAGGTTTTTGCCATAGGGCGCATGTGCTCTCCAGACAGAGAGAGAGAGACAGAGAGACAGAAAGTGAGAAATCACCCCCCAGGGGGGATGGCCACGCCACAATCCCTTCTTCTCCATTCTCCTCTCGGGATCTTGGGCACGCACGCACATGCGCCTGGCGTGAGTTTTAAGCCACTGGATCCGGGACTCGAACTGTGATCGACTACATGGGAGTCCAGCGACATAGCCATTACGCTAACTGCTGGTCCCTGCCCTGCATGATTTTCAAGCTGCCAGGTCTGGGGCTCAAACCCTGATCACTATGTGGGAGTTCGGCACTTTAACCATTATGCCACGTGCTGACTCCCCAGTTTTGGGGAGTTAAACACTCAGTGTATATACCTGGCGTACTACCTATGTGCATATTTTCCTCGGGTCTCCTCTGGTTTATCTATGAGTGAGATTGTCAGGGCACAGCTAGCTCTCGCTCCAACAGAAAGGGGCTAAAACCGAAAATAATTTATTGTTGTTTCTCGTAATTGTGTGGCTTGGTTTGCAAGTTCTGCTGGGCTGGATGGGTGGCTGACTTGCAGCATTCATTGGGGGAGTTGGTGGAGGTTGGGGTGGGGGCAGGCCCAGATGGGGCTACTATGTCTGCAGTCACTTAACAAGTGGGTGATAGTATTGCCAGCCTCCCTCCTGTGTTTGTGGTCAATTAACAAGAGGGTCCGGGCCTGGCCATTCTCTTCCAGGAGACCTTCAGGAGGCTAGTAATGTATTTTAATTTTATATTCTTTTTCTAAAATTCAGTCTTTATTGTTTTATTGTAGTCAATACTCAGTTCCTTTTACTACACCCCGTTATTGCTTTTTTTGCACTAGTTCGGATGCTACTTTTTTTTTTCCTTAAGTTGGGGCCAGGACCTGAACCTTCATCAGCCACGTAGGATCCAGCTTTCTCTGGCAGCACTTCACCTCTGTGCTACATGCCAGCCAGCCTTTCATTTCCTTTTCTTTTCTTGTTTGCTATGGGGTGCATGTGTTCACCAGAGGCAGGGTCGGGGTGTGTAAGAAATCACCGCTCAGGAGATGTCCACACTACAATCCCTTGTCCTTCATTCTCCTGGGATTTGGGGCATGCATGCACATGCACCTGGTATGATTTTCAAACTGTTGGGTCCAGGGTTCAAACAGCACTTTAACCACTGTGCCACCTGTTAGTCCTCACATATTCATATTCTTTTTTTTTTTTTTTTTGAGAAGTTTTTGCTATAGGGCATATACACTAGCCAGAAGACAGAGAGAGACTGAGAGACAGAAAGTGATAAATCACCCTGCAGGGGGGATGGCCATGCTGCAATCCCTTTTCCTCCTCCCAGGATCTTGGGCACAGATGCACACACGCCCAGTGTGAGTTTAAGTCACCGGGTCCGGGACTCAAACTATGGTCGACTATGTGGGAGTCCAGCAACATAGCCATTACACCAACTGCTGGTCCGGTTCACATATTCTTTAATATGACGCTTAGAGGTTGACTTTTACCCACTAGTTTCAGAAGAGAGGGAGGGAAGACAATAAGTGAGTGAGAATAAGAGTGAATAAGAGACACCCTCACTAGAGTAGAAAGCCGAGAGTCCCCAAGAAAACTATAGAAAATGGTTTTCTGGGCATCCCCCATGTTCATAAATTCTTCAGGGTCACACAGACTGACTCTTGATCCTGAAGGTGGTGACTCCAGGTTTCGTTCTGGGCCCTACTTACCTAGCTCAGTAATGACTGGCTGGTGACATCCTTTACAACCTGGAAGGCTAGGGAAAGGAGGCTCTCTTCCGGGGGGCCAGACGGTTCTATTTGATTCAACTCACTGTCCCCAGGAATGCTGAGACCATTTTAAAGCTGATATCTGCGGGGAAGTTGCCTAGTGAGGCCCAGCCTCCTGAAAACCTGTTAGAGAACCCAACCTCTATCTACAATGCCTGGCTCAACATCCTCCCCCAGCACATCCGGAGCGCGGTCCTCAGAGAAGTGCCCGAGTGCAACAAAGAGAAGCAGTTTCTGAAGGTCAGTAAGATGGTGGAGGGTAGCCTAGAGTCTCTTGAAGCCATCTGCACTACAGAAATCTCAGCTTTTATTCGAAACAGAGAAAGCCCAGAATGACCAGGATGACCTGCAGGCCTGTGAGTGCACAGAAGTCGTGCTTGCAGAAGGCCCTTCCATGGGGGACCAGCAGTTAGTGTAATGGCTATATCGCTGGACTCCCACATAGTCGACTGCAACTTGAATCCCAGACTCGGTGGCTTAAACTCACACCGGGCGCGTGTGCGTGCGTGCCCAAGATCCCGAGAGGAGAATGGAGGAGAAGGGATTGCGGCGTGACCATCGCCCCTGGGGGGTGATTTCTCACTTTCTATCTCTATCTCTCTGTCTGTCTGTCTGGGTGCCCCTTAGGAAAAACCTCTCCAAAAAAAAAAAAAAAAAAAAAAAAAAAAAGGAAGGCCCTTCCATGGGTAATGCCGAAGGGCTGGTTTTTCCATGGCAGAGGTTTTGTTTGGAAATCTAATTTTCTCAGTGACTCAGGGCTTAAAGGCAGTTTTCCAGAGAGGATAGAATGTATCTGTCTCTGCATTTTTGATTCCTGTTGTTAAGTTCAAGGACACTTTAACTCCTGTGTTCCTTTCCTTGCAGGTGAAGGAGGGCTCAAGCTTTGCATTCCTATCCTTTGTTGAAGCCATGTCCTTCCTTCCTGGGTCTATCCTGTGGTCTGTCTTCTTCCTCCTTGTCCTGCTGACCCTGGAGATGAGCACCATGATAGGGATGGTGTACACCATCATCACCTCAGTCCAGGACACCTTTTCCTCCCTCAGGAAACATGCGAAGCTGCTCACAGGTACTCTGCCCTTTGACCCTATGCCCAACAATGGCCTTGACCCAACTGAGAACTTACCCAGCCCTGGCCTCTGACCTTCACTCAGCCCTTGGCACCCAGCGATCTCTGGCCTTGATCCAGACACGTTTCCTCTAGTGGGCGTCTGTATGCTCATGTTCCTGTGTGGCATCTTCTTCGTGCAACCTTCCGGCATCTACTTCATCATACTGCTGAGTGAATACTGGACAGTCATCCCCATCGTCGTCATCATCGTGCTTGAAAACATAGCCGTAGCCTGGGCCTACGGGGCCAGGAGGTGATGACCTAGGCCCGGGTTACCACAGAGCATGGGCTTATGGCGAAGGTTGACTCCTTTCTTTTTTGGGGGAAAGGCATGCATGCACCAGAGAGAGAGAGAGAGGCAAATTAAGAAATCACCACCCCCCAGGGGGACGGCCATACTGCAGTCCCTTCTTCATTCTCCTCCTGAGTTTTGGGCATGCATGCACATGCCTGATAGGATTTTCAAGCTTCCAGGTCCAGGACTTGAATCTTAGGTCAGCCATGTAGGATCCTTAATCGCCACTCCATCTGGCTGGCCGCAGTGACTCCTTTCTTTTTTTTTTTTTTTTTTTGGAGAGATTTTCACTGTAGGGCGCGTGTGCTCGCCAGACAGACAGAGAGAGACATAGAGACAGAAAGCGAGAAATCACCCCCCAGGGGGGATGGTCACGCCACAATCCCTTCTCCTCCATTCTCCTCTCGGGATCTTGGGCACGCACGCACACGCACCCAGCGTGAGTTTTAAGCCACCGGGTCCAGGACACGAACCGCGGTCGACTACGTGGGAATCCAGCGACATAGCCATTACGCTAACTGCTGGTTCCCAGTGACTCCTTTCTGTTAGCCTCTACTGTCACCCACCTAGCGTGAAGTAAGGACCCTTGATCTCAGGGCTTTCTGGGAAGACTTCTTGTTCATTCTTATATGCCAGGCACTGCTCGAGTTCCCGGGGATACATGCATCCCTGTCCTCAGGGAGCTTATAGTCTAGTGGTGTCAGTAGACAGTCAGAAAATTAACAAATAAAAATAAAGAACAAAAATGGTGACAGGAGGCAATCAAAGAGGTCAGGCTAGATGATCCAGAGTGGCCATGTGTGAGGTGCTAGTTCAGACAGGCTTGCAAGGAAGGCCTTTCTGGCAAGCGAATGTGTGAGTAGACTCCTGAGTGAAACGAGGGGTGGAGCCATGATGAGATTTTGAGAAAGAGCATTTCAAGCAGGGAAATAGTAAGTAGCAAGGCCAGAGAAAGCATCCTACCTGGAGTTTGGAGTTCTGAGGAACGAAGAGGTCAGAGAGACTGTACTAGGTATTAGGAGGTAAGGTCAGAGGGTTACAGGGACCAGACTGTGTAGGGCCTTGTAAGCTAGCTTTTTTTCCTTTTTTTTTTGCCAGAGGATGTGTGTGCTTCCAGAGAGAGACAGCAAGGGGGTGGGGAGACTGAGAAAGCACCCCCCTAGGGAATGATCGTGCCATAGTCCCTTCTCCATTCTCTTGGGATTTGGGGATGCACACACATGTGCCCAGCATGTTTCAAGTCACTGGGTCTGGGACTTGAACTGTGGTCGACTATGTGGGAGTCCAGCAACATAAACATTATGCAATCTACTAGTCCCATCAGGTTTTTCTCTTTTTCTTTTTTATTTAAAGAATTATTTAATTTTATTTATTCATTCATTTATTTTAACTTGACCAGAGAGAGACAGAGAAATTGAGAGAGCGAGAGAGAGAGGGAAAGTGAGAAGCAAGCCACTTGGTCCAGGACTCGAACCGCAGTCTGCCACATGGGAGTGTCCAGTGCCATAACCACCACACCACTTGCTGGTCTCCTTTTTCTTTTTTGAAAAATTATTTTATTTAACTTTATTTATCCATTTATTTATTTATTCATTTATTTTAATTTGACCAGGAGGGACAGAGTGAGCATGTATGTGAGAGAGAAAGAGAAACTAAGAAAGCAAGCTGCCAGGTCTGAACTCAAACCAAGGTCGGCCACGTGGGAGTCCAGTGCTCTTAACTACCACGCCACCTGCCAGCCCCGTCCCATCGAGCTTGCTTCTTTCTTTATTTTCAGAATTTATTTATTTATTTCAATTGTTTTTTTTTTTTTTTTTGGAGAGATTTTCACTGTAGGGCGCGTGCGCTCGCCAGACAGACAGAGAGAGACATAGAGACAGAAAGCGAGAAATCACCCCCCAGGGGGGATGGTCACGCCGCAATCCCTTCTCCTCCATTCTCCTCTCGGGATCTTGGGCACGCACGCACACGCGCCCGGCGTGAGTTTTAAGCCACCGGGTCTGGGACACGAACCGCGGTCGACTACGTGGGAGTCCAGCGACATAGCCATTACGCTAACTGCTGGTTCCCAATTGTTATTATTTTTAATTTGAGCAGAGAGAGACAGAAAGGGAAAATGAGAAAGGAAGCCACCAGGTCCAGGACTTGAACCAGTCGGTTATGTGGGAATCTAGCATCCTTAACCACCATGCCGCCTGTCGGTCCCACCCAATCAGGTTTATTTTTTATTTATTTATTTTTCCTTGGAGAGGTTTTTGCTATAGGGCGTGTGTGCTTGACAGAAAGACACAGAGAGACTGAAAGCTGCTTGAGAAACATGCCAAGTGCATGTGTGTGGATGACCAAAATTCTGAGAGAATGGAAGAAAAGGGATAACAACATGGCCATCCTCCACGGGAGGGGTGATTTCACACTTTCTTTTCCTCTCTCTGCCAAGAATATACACTCTATACCAAGCTTTTTTAAAAAATAGAATAAAAACTCACTACTGGGGCCGGCAGGTGGTGTGGTGGTTAAGGCACCAGACTCCTACGTGGCTGACCATAGTTCAAGTCCCAGACCCAGCTACTTGTCTTCTCACTTTTCCCCTTTTCCTCTGGTCAAATTAAAAATAATAATAAATAATAATTTAAAAATTAAAAAATAGAATAAAAAGACACCAAGAATTGCTATGTGGAGATTAGACTATGAAAAGTTGAGAGTGAAAGAAGAAGAGTTAGGAGCTAGGTAATAATTCTGAGTGAAAACTGAGTGGCTTGAGAGGAAGGTTGAGAGATAAAGGTTGAGCTAAGTGGTCCAGTTCTGGAAGGCAGAGCTACCAGGAAAAGGGGACAGATAATCAGGACTGGGACTGAGAAGACACGAATGGAAATATGGGAAAATTCAAATCACGTACAAGAAACTCTTGAGCCTAACTTTTCACCAGGCTGGTGTGTGGCTATCCAAGTGGTATATGTTAAGGGCAGAAAGTTTCCAAGTAACATTTCAGGCGATGGTGGTTCTTGGAGTCAGTTCACTCACTTAACTCACTTGTTAACTCAAAAACCATTTCTTGAGACTTTCTCTGTGTCAAGAAAGCCTTTGGTATTGGAATATGAATGAAAGAGATTGGGCTCCTCTCAGAGAGGAGAAAGGAGAGATACATATGCAGACAGCCCAGTGCCTGGCAGCAAGTCTGTAGTAGAAGCCACCAGGGACTCTAAGGGCACAGATGGGGTGGGGGTGAGAGGATGTCCTAAAGGAGAGGACGCGTGAGCAGAGTCTGGACAGATGAATAGGCAGATAAAGGGAGAGAGGGAGGCTGGCCTTCTAGGCCAGAGGACCCCACTTGCACGTGTGGAGATGGCGAGTATGCGCTAGAGGATGACCATGTGGCTGAAAGAAACTCAGACAACTTCCTCAAGATCTTTTCTTTTCTTTTCTTTTCTTTTTTTGGAGAGGTTTTTGCTATCGGGTGTGTGCACTCGCCAGACAGACAGAGACAGAAAGCTAGAAATCAGAGACCAGCAGTTAGCGTAATGGCTATGTTGCTGGACTCCCATGTAGTTGACCACGGTTCGAGTCCCTGACCCAGTGGCTTAAACTCATGCCAGGCGTGTGTGTGTGTGTGTGTGTTTCCAAGATCCCGAGAAGAGAATAGAGGAGAAGGGATTGTGGCGTGGCCATCGCCCCTGGAGGATGATTTCTCATTTTCTGTCTTTCTGTCTCTTTCTGGTGAGCACATGTGTCCTATAGCAAAAACCTCTCCAAAAATAAAAAAAGAAAGCTAGAAATCACCCCCCAGGGAGGATAGCCACGCCACAATCCCTTCTCCTCCATTCTCCTCTCAGGATCCTGGGCATGCACGCACACGTGCCTGGTGTGAGT